CACATAGCAACCGCTGATGGCTTCCTACTGTAAATAATGAAGTTCAAATGCTGCAGCATCATCTACAGGGCCTCACAGGGCCATGGCCCCAGCTATGTTTGGATCTTAGCTGTAACCCTCTAGACCTCCCCTTCACTCAGGCAGCCTGGGCACTACAGACCTCTCCTAGAACACTCCWGTCCTAGTTCAGCTGGCAGATTCAGAGAGCCCTCCCTAATCTGCATAGCAGAGGCTGTATTCCACCCATGCTTCCAGCTTTCCCCTCATTCCTGCACTCCCTTACCCACCATCACTGTATTTACCTGTGTATTCACTCACAGGCCTTCTCCTTTACTAATTAAGCTCTGTGAGGACAGAGCCTCACTTGGAGCTTCCGAGCCTCAGAACAGTGCTGGCAGAAGGTAGGTACTCAAATTGCTGAATGAGTGAAAAAAATCTCCCTCCCTTTGGTTATTCTGTCTCTTGTTATCTCTAACAATTTCTCTACACTGGATATTTCTGAAAGCACACAAACAGCCCTCCTTCAAAATGCCTCCTTCGAAACACACCCTTCAGCTTAGTTCTCTTTCTCTGCTACCTTTCAGAGCCCAAATCACATGGGGTTAGCCTCTATTCTCTTCCCCGCTGATACGATTTAGATGTGAGGTGCCCCTCTAAAGCTCACATGTGAGACAATGCAAGAAAGTTTGGAGGAATGATTGGATTATATCCCTAGCCTAACCAGTGAGTTAATTCTTGATGGGACTAACTAAAGTGGTAGGGTGTGGCTGGAGGATGTGGGAATTGGGCATGGTTTGGGGTATATATTTGTATCTGGAGAGTGAAGTTTCTCTCTCTGCTTCTTGATTACCATGATGTGAGCTGCTTCCCTCTGCCACACACCCCTCCATGATACTCAGCCTCATCCTGAACCCGAGAAATGGAGCCAGCCTTCTATGGACTAAGACTTCTGAAACTGTGGGCTCTCAACTTTCCTTCCTCTATAGTTGTTCTGGTCAGATCCTTTAGTCACAGCAAAAAAGCTGAGTAAAACACCCTCATCATATGAATAAAACTGCTCAGATCAAGGCTATGGTGTCAGACCCAAAGACAATCTCTGGCTTCATCCTGACCTGACTGTATTCCATAAAGTTTCTCATTTCCTTCTTGACTGTCTTCTACTGATCCCCAAGCCCCATTTTCCTGATTTTCTTCTACCTCTCCAGCAGCTTCTCTGTTGATCATCCTCCTGGCATGTGATGAAATATGTTCCTCTGTGTTTGCGATGGGACTCACTTGTTTACTCCCTCCCTAAGTAAGATGTCTCAATGATTTAACACCGATAATCTTTAGGCTGACTACCAAATTTATTCCATCTTAAAACACAGTTGTTCACATTGCTCCTATGTTTAAAATTCATCCAAATGTTTACCTGTACGCATAAGTGGGTTTTGCTTCTGTGATTTTTTTTTTTTTTTTTTGGCTTGGTTATCCCCCTGGAATGTAACCTCCATAAGGACAGGAGTTACTTATGTCTGTTGTCTTCACTTCTGCATGAGTCTGGCACAGAGGGATGGCAAAAAACAGTGACTTCATTACCCCATGGTCAGTCATGGTCCAGTCAATCAATATGAAAGAATCAAGATAGGGAACATCTGGGACTGTCCTTTTCAGGTTAGGAGCCCATGGTATATTTACCTTAGAAAACCCTGGGAAATGGTAAATTCTCAGAAGAAAAAATGTCCCGTTCCTTGTCTGACAATACTAATGCTTTCTCTATGCTACAGAATCCATCCCCCCCTCCACTCTGACATTTACTCCATCAGTAATATGCCACTCTACAATTTTCCTTTTTTTTTTTTTTTTTTTGGTTAGGTCTCTCCTCTGCAGAAAAATGTTTAAATCTTACCTCAGACTAATATCTACAGAATTCAAATAACCAACTCTCTTCAGTTCCTAGATTCCTCTTTACTGACTCTCTTACCATCTCTTCACCTCCACTGCAAAATCCCAAAGAGTACCCCAGGTTCATCTGGGTTTCTTGATATCCTGTTCCTCCCACAGCAATGTGTTCTGCCTGCTGATTCCCAAGGTTCGTGCRGAACACCAGAACAAACACCTAACAGTGTCTTCTGACTGACCATCACACCATTCACCCTGGTCTAGAGTCTTTCAGGCTCCCTTTGCTCTTTCCTTAAACCTCAACAACCCAGAGTTTCTGCCTTACTCCTTGTTTTTTCTTATTCTGTAAGCTCTCCAAGATGGGATTCCCTATGTCCACAACCTCTGCTACCATCTTTATGCTAATAACTCCCCAATGCTCACTGGGCATTTTTCTTGGATAGTCCCCACAAGCACTTCAAATTCTGCAAGTTCAGAACTAAATTTATTTTTGCATCTCCCTAAACATACCCCTCTTTTTGTATTCCCAGAACCAACTCTACCCTTTCAARATATCTAATCCAGAAAGCTGGGAGAAATCCCATATTCCTCCTCCCTCCTCACTTTTTTACTATAGATATAAGATTATTCTCCTTTGATCAAGCCTTTCTTCTTTATTCGAATAAGTACAACACTAATCTGGTCAGTTACTATGTCCCATCACACAGGCCTCTGCCTTCTAACTGGTTTCCTTGTACCAGGCTTGCTTCCAGTCACGTTTACTCCACCCCCACATACAAATGATAGTTTAATTCTAAATCAAAAGTATGAGCATGCTACTCCATGGTTTGAAACTGTTCTATGACTCCCCATGGATGAGGACCAACCATTTATGTGTGGCACAAAAGGCTCCTCATGATATGGCATACCTCCTCAGGCCTGTGMCTCTGACCTTGCACACTGAATTCCCATCATACTAACTACTGGCACAACCCCAATGGACTTCGGTGGCATGCCTCTGTATGCATACAGTATACTCTATACTCTCCCTTGTGACATTCCAGCTTCTTGAGAACTTGTCCTCCTGCTGCAAAGCCTTCCCAATATCCTTAAGATGGCTCAGCCTACATTACTTAATAGATTCCCACTGTCTCCTGTACATTTTTCCAAAGATCACACTGTATCTTAAGCCACTTAATATGTCTGTTTTCACATAAGCCATGTAAGGTCACCAATGATAGATATGTTTTACAATTTCCCAGGACTTAGTACAATGCATGGCAGAGTAGACATAATAAATATTTAGGGACTGAGTCAACTTGGGAGTTTTATTTCATATTGTATTACCTGCAGTTTCCTCCAACCTCTGCAAAGTTTACTACACTACTGAGTGCATAAGTTGTTTTTTATCTCCTTGGGAAAACATCCAAGGAGGCAGAATTTTGTAGTGAAAWAGCCAGGCTTGTAAGTAGACAGATCTGGATTAAAAAAGAACCTTAATACTAATTAACTAGTTACTTAACTAATTAATTAATCACATCTTTGGGCACACAAACCTTAATAAGCTAAGGTTTCTAATACTGTGAAACTGGAATAATATTCACCTGGAAGAGCTGTTTTGGGGATTACATGAGATCACATCAAACATACAGGAGATGATTACAGTTGTTTTCTATGATCACATCACCTCCTCTGTGAAGCATTCCTCATTTGATCTCAGAAGAGTAAGATATGCTCTTCCACACTACATTTCCACATTAACCTATGATTCTATTATAGTATCAYGAAATTATTTCATAATTTTGATTTTTAGTTGTCTGCACTCCCTGTAGTATCTGGCTACAGGGATTTCTGTCTCATTCAGTGGGAGAGTTCTTCATTGTTTGACTCTTCTGCATCCAAATTTCCTAGGTTAGAAGGTTGAAAGGCTAACTGAGAAAGCACACCTGAACCAACACCTAATAAAACTATTCAACATCCTTCCTGTTTATCACTAGTCACTATACCTTCAGTGAATGTCAATCTCTAGCTGATTCACTAGAGAACATCCAACAAACAACCTTTATGCACTTTATTCTTTATTCTAAGAAATGAGTCATAGTTCCAATTGCAACGTTTTATGAAAAARTATAAAACATTTATTTTCATATTTTTAAGGAAGATTTTCAAGAAAAGAGCTGCAAACCAGTCTCCYCTTGCTTTTATTTATTTATTTATTGGTAAAAACTTGATCTCTGTTTAAAATAGGTCTACTGTGAGTGCTCTTTGCTCAGGACCAATTATTTTGAGTAAAGGAGTTCTTTTCCATTTGACATCTGTAACAGTCAATCAATATTGCTGTCWGTTTGATAAACTAGTGTAAGTCCAAGACAGATATTCAATATAGATATTTCATGCTATTCTGTTGTCCCAAACTGACCTTTTAGGCTGGAAATCCTGGAGGCTAAGCCACATTCSAAACCCTACTGAAATCACAGATCCTTTGAAGATGGAAGGCACTCTTACAGAATTTTTTTTTCCTCAAAGAATTCCATAACGACTGAATCTACAATTTTAGTAGCCCATCATTTATGTACATAACACTGTGCTCATTACCTTGGGCCTGGAGAAGTGGAGCCACAAAAGTTTAAAAATACTTGCTGATCTTACATACTGCCATTTGGGAGCGTGCACATAAACACATATGTTCAATGAATTATGTAAGTTGGCTCTAGCCACAGCTTCCAGGGCCGTTCTCATTTTTCTACTTACGTCAAACAAACTCAAAAAGAAGGGCTTTGCTTTATAAGAAAGTAAGAGAGAGCCACAACCATCCTATTTTGAACTGGTCCAAGTAGTGCTTTGCAAAAATTATGCTTTTACTTTCTTCCTGGCAGTTATTGGAGAGACCTGCCCAGCTTGCTTCGAGGCTGTTTTGTCTCGTCTTTTAAAGCTCCAACCAACTCAGGAGTCTCCCACAGCCCGCGGCCGGGGACCCCCGGGTGGCAGAGCTTCCAGGGTCCCACCAGCGGCTCCCCGGCGCCCCGCCCCTGCCCGGCCAGGGCGCGGCCGCTTCCTCCCTCCTCCTCGCCCCAACCCCACCGCTCGCGCCGCCCCTCGGCTCCGGCTCTCGGAAAGAGGCGGGAGAGGAAAAGGGATACCTGAAGGTTGGCCCCAGCAGATGCCATGGCGGGGATCCAAAGTGGCTCTCTGAGTAACGCGGGGCGAGAAGCGCCAACAGGGGCGAAGCCCGTGTAACAGCCGMAAACTTCGAGAGGCTGGGGCTCTCGGACCCAGAACAGCCGCCTCAGTTCCGGAACGAGCAAAACAACCCTCCACACTCCTAGCCGCCGGACCCTCCTCACGATACTTCCGCAATCCCGAGCCCCCTCCGGGCTATGAACACACCTCCGACCGGAGCACGTCCGCTTTCGTCATCAGCACGCGCTCTCTCTAGTCACACTGTACGCGTCTCACTGCAGCCCCGGCCCTCGCGAGATGGGGAGAGGCAGCCCTGAAGCCGGATCGAGTCTGGCGGAAGTCAGGCGTGGCGCAGGCGCACTGCGGCTCAGGCCTTCGGGCTGGCTGGCGTCCGATAGAGCCGGAGGAGCGCCAGCGCGGGCTAGGTCTTTTTCTTCTTTCCTTCCTTTTTTTTTCCTTCTCCCACCCCATATTCTTAAACTTTACGATGAGTTTTTGGCTCATCTGACTCCTTTCTCGCATTGCCACTCCGTGACGTCTGTGCGAAAAAGGCATCTCCAAGACCTCTGGGRACTTTGGTCCGGAGTGTTTTCCTCGTTCCCATCGTTTCCTCGTCTGAAATRGGGCGCGCGTGGTTCGCTCCTCCGGGCGACGGGGGACGCAGAGGTGATGGGCAGCAGCTAGAGGACAGGCGACTTTGCCCCAGTTACTGGTCGACCCCACCGAGCCGGTTCAGCGTGTCGCTCGAGGAAGCCGTGGGGATAATTGGTATAAATACGGCATTTTGGCCGCTGCCCTGGAGCTTACCGCGTGGTGGGGAGGCCGGCTCTGAACCTGTCTTGCAGAATGTCACCTGTACCAGTTWTATTTACAAGGAAAGTTGTGGCTTCAGAGGTTACGACCTTGCGTGAGCACCTTGATSAGAGATTAATGGCAGAACTGCAATAAAGCCGTTTCCCGGCCTTTCTATTACACAAATCCCTCCTTTCTGTTWATGGTTAGGTTTCTCAAAGGAAAGCAAAATAGTTGTTAATCACTCTTGTCATTTTGTTTCCTTCTCTTTCCTTATTTTTTTGGTAATCATCTGGCGTGTCCTAAATAAGTACTCACCTCCCCTTTTTAGTTGGTGTGATCACCAATCCTTGAAATCTCTCTTTTATAACTTCTTTATATAACTTCTCTATACCCCCTTAGTATTTCCCCGTTCTACTCCTCAATACAGAATTTTCTCTCTGCCCATAGCTTCTCTCATTACAGTCTGCCCCTCTTACCCTCTTCTTGTGTTTTATCTGTCAATCAACTAGAAATGGCTTCAATCTAAATCTGTAGGGCTACCTTATGGCCTGCTCAGCATTTAATATTGCCTTTTAGAGACGGGGAGTGGTGGTGTTTGTGTTTTTTTGTATGTGTTTTGTGGTACTGGAGATTTAACCARGGACACTCTACCTCTGAGATACACCTTCKGCCCTCTTAATTTCCATTTTGAAATGGTCTTGCTAAGTTGCCCAGGCTGGCATTGAATTTAAGGACTTCTGAATCAGCCTCTTGAGTATCTGGGATTACAGATGTGGGCCACTGTCCCTGCCTTCTGAGCTCTGTTTTACAGGGTTTTTCTTGGAGACAAATTCTACACATTCAAAACCAAATTAATTTCTTACATCCCAAATGTCCTCCTCTGGTTTCTCATTCTTAGAATGCTTTCACCAAATCTGCGCCATGCTGGCTCAGAACTCAAAGCTTCCTCTCAGCCCTCCATCTCAAGCCTTCCTTTACAGTAGGGACTTCAGCCCTTAATGAATGCCGGTACTTAGTAAATGTTTAATTATTATTAGGTGCTTAACTGAACTGCTTAAAATCAGATACTGTTGAGGCCTGGGGACAAAAAGACTGTCAATGTAGGTAATGAATGATTGGGTCAGAAAGACAGGGGCTGATTCAGGAGGAAATAAAATGTTACTACCTTCAGGACATTTCCCCCTTCACCTGTTGCCAAGGTGACCTACCTCCAGGGAATTGTTTCTGCAGGAGTTGTTCATGAATGGCTCCCTCCCACTCTCTTCCTGTTCCCACCCAGTATCTCGCTGCCTTTTTGGCTCACCTTTGGTGGGATGTGGGGGCGGGGACCAAAGGAAATCTGAAATGTATAAAAGGGGCAGGATACCCCACTTACTCAGACACCCAGCTCTGTGGCCCCCTTCTCTGTCAAGTCTACCTCTGTTCTGTCCTTTAAATAAACTTGCTTTATATCCTTGCCTTGGAGTTTCATGGATGTTCGGTCTTCAACATCTGGGGAAATGGGACTTGGCCTTGATTGATTCACATCATTGGTATCACTGGTTCTTTAATGACTATCARATAAACCTGATTTTGCCTGAAAGTACAACCAGACTCTTGACTTACCTTTCAATTCAAACCTCCCTCCACCCTTTTGTGTGTGTTGGGGATTGAACCGAGGGCCCCTTGCATGCTAACCATGTCTCTACCACTGAGCTAGCTTCAGGCCCTCAATCCCTAAATCTTTACCAAAACTAAACACAAGTGCCAGGCATCAGAAAATATGATGATGTATAGTCCTTGCCATTTAGGAGTTTAAAAGTCAGTGAAAGACACAGACGAGTTTAAAAAAGAAGAATTCATTGAGTGTTAATGAGTACTACCATAAGCAAGCCTATTTTAGATATTGGATATGAACCAGTCAAAATCCCCTATCACCATGAAGGTCATGTTGATATGACATACCCCAACCCCATTGCAGTGAAGAGGACACATCAGTTCTGTATTGTTCTCCCCCCAAATCTATAACCTCAGTCTAATCATGAGAAAAAGGAAAAACTGCTTTGAGGGATTTGTCTACTTCTACAATTTATCTGAACTATTCTCTTAAAAAATGTCAAGTTCATGAAAGAAGGAGCAAGATAAAAAAAATGTGGCATATATACACAATGGAATATTACTCAGCAATAAAAGAGAATAAAATCATGGCATTTGCAGGTAAATGGATGGTATTGAGAAGATAATGCTAAGTGAAGTTATCCAGTCCCCCCAAAAAACCAAATGCCAAATGTTTTCTCTGCTATAAG